AAAAAAAAAAAAAAAAATATTTGCTTGTGCTGCTTTCCCATAAAGACTTCACATTGCATATGAATTTTTATTTTAATAAAAGCAGTTCAGGATTAATCACTAACAATACAACAGTAAGCCTGCAATAGAGCAGATGGGATCAATTTGTTGTAAAGAAATAAGAATTTCCTAACAGAAAAAGTTGTTGGACATTTAATCTGACCAGAGAAATTTGCAGAATTTCCATCATTGCAGAATAAAAATCTGAGTTAAAATGAGTAGCTGGCTATCTTAAATAGTTTACATGTGATACTTACTAGAGATACCATGCTGAATTCTTTCAGTGACATACAGATTCTGATACTCTTCATTTTAATAAACATTTTGCCATTTTATACTTCCACTTTGGGCAAGGTTAGATGCAAGTGCGATTAAGGAGGGTCCATTTTTTCCCAATTTGTTGGTTGATATTTTCCTAATATTTTCTAAGGTCAATCGGTCATTATCATTCCCATCCTAGTCAGTGACTATTTTGTTGACACATGTCTCCATGACTCCATTTTTGACTTTTCATTTGACTTTCATCTTGGACCACACTTACTCAAAAAATATACACTGCAGAAGAAATCTGTAAATGTGTATGTGATTTCTTTGACTGCTAAGAAGAATTGTGATGCTAACGTTTATTGAGGCTGACTGCGTGGCAGAGACTATACTAAATGTTTTACCTGGATTATCTCATGGATCCACACCTGATGCCGCAGAGCTGTGAGTTACCACTTCTCTATCCCTTCTTGGCAGAGGACAGACAGGCTCAGGGAGCTCAGGAAATGTGTCCACAGTGAGATGGGTAAGAAGGGATGTTGTTGGGATCAACAGGCTGGGTTAGTCTGATTGCAAAGATTTTTTTTTTTTTTTGAGAGATAGTCTTGCTCTGTTGCCCAGGCTGGAGTGCAGTGGCACAATCTCAGCTTACTGCAGGCTCTGCTTCCCAGGTTCATGTGATTCTCCTGGCTCAGCTTCTCAAGTAGCTGAGACTACAGGCATGCGCCACCATGCCCAGCTAATTTATATACATATTTGGTAGAGATTGGGTCTCACCATATTGGCTAGACTGGTCTCAATCTTCTGACTCAGGCAATCTGCCCACCTCAGCCTCCCAAAGTGCTGGCATTACAGGAGTTAGCCACCGTGCCCAGGCTAACTCCAAACTTTAGAGACAGAGTTAGATTGTGCTTTTATATAAGTGATTTCCAGTTGAGACTTAACAGCTCCCTCTAATTCACTTCTCTGTGGAAACTTCTTTCATTAAGTTCTAACATTGTTGTGGGGAACAATAAAATGTCTTTAGACACCACGTCTCAATCTTGACCACACTTTGGAATTACCTGAGAGTTTTCAGAAAAATACTGGGCCTTGAACTTCTCATCTCAACTGATCCCCCTGCCTTGGCCTCCCAAAGTGCTGGGATTACAGGCATGAGCGACCACACCTGGCCCCCCAAAATACTGCGGTCTCACCCTCAGGTGTTCTGTGTTCATGGAGTATAGCCTAGACATGGGGATTTTTAAAAACCCCAGATGATTCTAATGTACAGCAGAGTTTGAGGATTCCTATTTTGGAACAATGTAAATTTTTAAATTCTAAATTCTCTCTTTCAGTAAAAAAGTAATGTCTTTATTACAGAAGTAGTGCATATTTGCTTTAGAAACTACAGAAAGGCTGGCATGGTGGTTTACACCTGTGATCCCAGCACTTCGGGAGGCTGAGGTTAGAGGATGGCTTGAAGCCAGGAGATAGAGACCAGCCTGGGGAACATAGGGAGACCCCATCTCTACAAAACTAAAAATAAATCAGCTGCATGAGGTGGCATATACCTGTGGTCCCAGCTACTCAGGAGGCTGAGGTAGGAGGATCACATGAGCACAGGAGGTTGAGGTTGCAATGAGGTGTGATTGAGCCACTGTACTCTAGCCTGGGCAGTAAAGCAAGACCCTATCTCAAAAAACAAAACAAAACCATAGCCAAAAAAAGTTACTATTAAAATTACCTGTCATCCTTTCACTGAAAGTTAGCAGTGTAGTGTTTAGCTATGTATACATTTTTTTGCCCCATGCACATTTATAGATTTGACATCCTACCTACCTTCTATAGATTTTTATATTTAATGCAAAATTGTTTTATGTCTGTTTTATGTATTTATATGCATTGCCAGACTAAGAAATTTTTGACTCTTACATAATGGTGTTGTTGGATCAATCCTTATAGGCTAGTAATTCCCAAAGTGGGGCAATACTTCTGTTAATGGAGTTTGTATATTGTCTGAGTTAGCACTTAGGGAACTGATTTAGATGTCTGTCCTTTGGGCCCCATCTTCTGTAGTACTTTTTTAGGCAAGGAAGTCCTTGGTTTACTTCTTGTCTTCCTTGTAGCCTCTTCAAGGCAAAGCCCACTTGGTTTTTATCCCTGGGTCCTGGCATGTAGTACATGCTCAATAAATTATTGAATGGATGAACAGACAGGCAGATGTACCCCAGAATCTGAGGTGTGGATGGTGGTTATGGTTTGAAAAAATTACTTAAGTTCAGGTCTGTCTGAAAAAAAAAGATTGGTGAATATGGTGGTAGGAGGGGACAGAGTGGGGTTGAGATAAGGACAAGGACTAGGAGATATTTTAGGATAGGTGAGCTTCAGCTCTTCCAGGAAAAGTAAAACATCTTCTAGTTTCAGAAATGTCCTGGACCTGTCCTCCTTACCAGGCCTAGTTTTCACTGGTGAATAACCCCTCCCCCCAGTATGGTAGAGGGATTGTGTTCTATCCTTCCACCTCCCCTGTCTTACTCACTTGTAGGACATCTTATTCTCAAAATAAGAACTAAATACATTTTGGAGTTTGCTTCTCCCCGGGTATGTTCTAATAAAAATTTCGATGAGAAGCTGCTGCAGTATAATGCATTTCAGCTAGGGATAACCAGAGCCTGTCAGTCAGCAGCTGTGTCTGTCCCATCCTTTCCAAGGAAGGTCTGGGATGAGGAAGAATTTACATAAAAGGTGGGAGGGGACTAGAGCATTGAAGGACTGCTGAGGGATTTCCCCAGGAAGGAAAAGGTCCATCTGGGAGGCGTTAAGGGTTTGTTGGTAAGCCAGGCTTGTCTAGTGAGCCCAGACAACTCCGCACTGCTCGGTATTTTTGGCACTATAGCCACAAATCCAGTATGATTTCTTTTTCATATTGACTTCTTATAATGTCACTTTATAATCAGTAGATTTCTTAATCACAAGGCCTATAAATCAGAAGAATTTTGCCTTTGAAAAATGTAACTGTATTAAATGTGCTGTGATCTTTCCTTGCCCATTACAGTTCACTTTAAAACATTTTTATTGAAAAGGAGAAATTGCAAATGCATGCATTTTACTTTATTAGTATATAAACACACATGATTATATTGCTGAAATCATTTAGAATTGAGGCATTTTTGTAATTCCACGTATACAAAGAAAAATTAGAAGCTGTTCTTTATCCTTTCTCCCCTTTTTGTTGAATTCACAATGACTTTACAGACATTTAATGTAAAGGCACTAAAGACAGTTAAAACCATTAGTCATCATGCTTTACTTAGAATTCAGCAAAGAACACAGTTAAAGAACAAAATAGCAAGCCTGGTTTATTTGTCTGAAAAATGCTTGTCTCATGGTACTTTATCTCATATGAGGGAAGGAGAGGGAATCCTTCGAGTTACATCGTATAAAGTAGCAAAAAACAAATACAATAAATGCTAGAGACAATATTTATTCAGAAAACATCAGCGAGTCCAGTGAAACGTGGAGACTGTGAAATGCTGTGCCAGTCATTAGAGCCAGGAGTGTATTATGATTTAATGGTACCTCTCTGCTGCATCTCATGAGCTGTCCTAGAAAAACATTTTGAAGCAATAAAGCATCCATTTGGCTCCTAAGTAATGAGAGGCATTGTTCTTTGCATTAACTATTTATTCAGGAAGAGAAGTGACCAACTGTTAATAAGCTTTGTCCAAAGAGGGTCGTGGAAAACAAGAAAATGCAAAAGTGAGGTTCTCTTCAATTTCATATGCAATTAACAAATATCCAGAGCTGACTGATTGGTGCTCCTCTTCCATGTGACTTTTGGCTGGCTGTATTTAAGGGTGAGTGCCTGTCAGATGTATTCAAAGCTTCTGGGTTCTGTAGCCTAAACCCATGACAAATGAGAGGCGGCAGTGACTCGTGAGTAGCTAAGACTGGATTAATCTCTCTGTTGTTTTGAATAATGGACTTATTTTTTAAGATGAATAGTAATGGTTTTAGGCTTTTACTAGTTTACTCCTTTTGGGAAGGATTCCTTCTTTTTCTTTGTTTTAGATGATTATTGCTTTTTCATTACTTGTGAAATCTGCTCTATAATGCAATGTGATGTTTAGACTTACCATGTGATCAAGAGGCTTTTAACTTGAGAAAAATTCTTATTTGCTATATAAATAGATATGTGGTTTATTCTTTGGAAATAGTTTCTAGGTACGAATGCAACATTTTGCTCTTGTTCTGCGAGTAAATAAATGATCTCTTCTTGACAGTAAATGGGTAGGATTTAGTAACTTCAAGACTACAACCAGAATATTGTATTTACAAATAAATAGGGGCTTCTTTCAAGTCATTTTGGAATCTTACTTTGAAGCACTTTGGTGCTATGACAGCGTGAAGTTTTCAGTCCACTTGCTTTAAGGTCCTTAATGTAGTTAAGTTGCCTTTTTAATGACGTGAGAAAAGGTGAAAGTTGCAATTGTTTTCTTCTCTAAAGCCAACAAAAGGATGTTTATGGTAATTCTTCGTCCCTGCTCTCACTAAATAGTAGTACAGTAGAGTTCTACACAATGGGGGAAGAATCTTCATAAATCATTAAAATAGGCAGTGGAAATTATATGTAAACTCAATTTATTTAAATATTAACAGAATATTCTTGATACGGTAATAAGTCAATTAGGTGGTCAGGTGCGGTGGCTCATACCTGTAATCCCAGCATTTTGGGAGGCCCAGGTGGGCAGATCATGAGGTCAAGAGATTGAGGCCACCCTGGCCAACATGGTGAAACCCCATCTTTACCAAAAAAAAAAAAAAAAAGGAAATGATTTAGTGTTGCATTCCTTTGATTTTTACTTTAAAAATATTTGCCATATTGAGAACTATGTATTCCTGCTAAGCTTACTATGAATCATTTTGAAGTGTATTTAAAATCAGTTTTCAAGATATATTCCATAGAATAAGAATGCATTGTTTATTTGGGTTCATAGCCTTAGAAAAAAGAACTAAAGAGCCCAAGTCAGTAGCAAAAGGATCAAAGACAGAAAAACTCCTTAGGCTTTTTCTTTCCTAGACCACATTATTTCTGTATACAGAGGACAAAAGCATAAGAAATAAAGGCTCAGGTTAGAAATGGAATTACCTCAGAATATGTTAGGTTTTGCGACAATCTTTCTCTTTGGGTATTAACAATCATTAGATTGGATTATCCCTTTCAGATCATCACTCCATTCAGAAGGCTAATGCTGTGTGCTGAGAACAGAAAGGAGATGGAAGATTGGATCAGCTCCCTGAAGTCTGTACAGACCAGAGAACCTTATGAGGTAAAATAGCATCTTTTCTTTCATCTCATGTTCTTAGAGAATAAATGTTAACCGAAGGGCCAGAGCTCTACTGTGCAAACATAAGTATGTGTAAACTCATTCGGCAACTTGTTTAAATCAGATTTTGAACTTCTTAGCTTAAAGCGAAGTGCTTTGGTTTTAAAAGTGATAGATGTGAAAGTCTGACTGTAACTATATGCATTCCAAACAGCTCAGCATCTGTAGTCTTGTTTGCTGGTTTGGCACATCTGTCCTCACATCTCATTTCCAGGTGGCCCAGTTTAATGTGGAACATTTCTCAGGGATGCACAACTGGTACGCCTGCTCCCATGCCCGACCCACCTTCTGTAACGTGTGCAGAGAAAGTCTTTCTGGAGTCACCTCCCACGGCCTGTCCTGCGAAGGTACTATAGCACCTAGCATGTGTTTCTCCCAGCAGTGACCATACTGTAGACATGCTGGCACTGGTTTTATTGTAGCTTAAAATTGAGCTCTCCACATATAGGACTAGCTTGGGAAATACTTTTGCTCAGGAAAAAAATAACAGTCATTTAAAGGACACATAAATCAAAATACAGCATTTTACCCTCAAGAAACTAGGAACTACTGTCTAAAAAAAAAAATCTTTGGACCTTGTAATAATCATTCTGGTATTCTTTATTCTGGTTGATTACGGAGAGCAAAACTTTTTGTGAGGACAGTATTTATTCTTTGGCAGAATTTCTGATTGTTAATTATATTGCATTGTTTTAAATATTATTTTCTTTCATTTGTTTAATCTAAAAAGATATCATCCTTTCTAATTTCTTTAAAATTTTCTAAAAATAAGGCCTATGCTGTTATTCTGTTTTGTTTTGAGAAAGGTTCTCTCTCTGTCACCCGCCCTGGAATGTAGTGGCATGATTAAGTCTCTCTGCAGCTTCAGCCTCCTGGGCCCAAGCGATCCTCCTACCTCAGTCTCCCCAGTAGCTGGGACTACAGTCAAGCACCATCATACCTGGCTAATTTTTTTTTGTGAGTTTCTAGCGACAGGGTCTCACTATATTGCCCAGGCTGGTCTCAAACTCCTGGGCTCAAGCAGTCCTCCCACATTGGCCTCCCAAAGTACTGGGATTAGAGGCATGAACAGATTTGTGAGTTATTGTTAATATAAGAGCAGTGACCGCCAACGGCAAATACCTTAATAATTGCCGACAGAAAACTTATAACTTCTTTAGATTTATTTCATACTTCAGTGATGATACTGTTGTATACTACTTTTTAAACTATATATGATAATACCAGCTTTTTTTCTCAAATCCAAACATTTAAGTAATTTGGAATATCACTTATTTATAATTAAGTAATAAAGTAGTAATAGAGTCACAGCCTTAATTGATTTTGAACTATAAAATATGCACTATGTCATTGTTTCAGCTGTTGAATACGATATAGCATAGTGGTTAAGACTAGAGTTCTTCAGTTAAACCCTCTTCCACTTCCATCATTGCAAACTATGACCAGGAAAAGTAGTTCAACTCACTTAGACTTTCCTCTCCTCATTGTTAAGATGGGGACAATAGTCATTTATACCTCATAGAATCACTATAAAAACTAAATGAGCAAATACATATAATAAAACTACTTTTCTAGTGAAATAAATTGTAAGAAGTTTGTAACTGTGTTTTGTAAGAAACTTATCAAGTAGATAATTAGAAATTTGCATCATGGGCCTCATGCATTAAAATTCATGAAGGAGAAAATTTGGAGAACGCATTAAATGTTTCTTTTTAGACTTAAAGAATGGTTCCAAAGAGATGTGATTGGCCTTTACATGAGTTTAGTAATCTAAAAGGGTTCACATAGAGCTGAATAACTCCTACCAGGTCTGTAATATTATATGGTATTATTTTAAAGATTTTACTAAAATTGTTATTGCAAAAATGCTAAAAAGACACCACATCTGAGACACTCTGTGGTACCCTTCTGATTTGAGGGTTATACATTATTAAATATATTTATTTAAAAATTGTGTCAATAGTGGAATTACTGAATATTTTCTAGGCATTTAAAAAAATGAAAATTAGTTGGTGAGAATAAGAAACTTAAAAGTCTTTAAATAAATTTGTTATATTCTTCTATAAATAATGTAATTTTCAGGACTTTTTAAAAAAGTCTCAATTATCGGATTAAAATTCTTTTTAGACAAGTATATATTAATATTCATTTCCTTTGTTGGTAAAAATTTTTTAATCTGCGGTATCTTACCTATTAGTATTTTCAGAACTGTAGCAGAAGATTAAAAAAATCCCAAGGGTTTTATAAATATAAAAAAACTGCATTTTTAGGTTTTATGAGAGTATGGTTATTCTGGATATTTTTATCATAAAGTCATACTTACACTTTTGAAAACCCCCTAAAACCTGAATAAGCAGCTTACTTGATAAAACTAAAAGCTAGATCAAGAGGCTTTAAATATTATAAGAGATGCAAATATAATAATTTGTTCAACAGTGACTATGAATAACTTTATATTAGCATAGAATTCAGCTTCCAGTGTGTGAAGCCTTCACTACCTTTACTAGCCTTTCTGGCCTCATTTCCACAATAAAATGAATCTTCATGCCAACAATTTTGTAATTTTTGTATTTTTAGTAGAGGCAGGGTTTCATCATGTTGGCCAGGATGGGCTTGATCTCCTGACCTCCTGATCATCCCACCTCAACTTCCCAAAGTGTTTGGTTTACAGGCGTGAGCCATTGCACATGGCCTCAAGTAAAGTATTATTTTTATAAAGTCTGTGTTTGAGCTACACATTTTTAACAAAAATGGTGAAAGGGAAAGAATTTTTCCAAGTATGCAAAAGAGAAGGTAAACAAAACATTTACAATGTGTATAGATTAACTTTTTTTTTTTCCCTCTGAGACAGAGTCTCACTCTGTCGCCCAGGCTGGAGTGCAGTGGCATGATCTCGGCTCAATGGCTCAAGCAATTCTTATGCCTCATAAGAATCTTGAATAGCTGGGATTACAGGCATGTGCCATCACACCCGCTATTTTTTTTTATTTTTAGTAGAGATGGTGTTTCACCTTGTTGGCCTGGCTGGTCTCAAACTCCTGACCTCAGGTGATCCCCCCACCTTGGCCTCCCAGAGTGTTGGGATTACAGGCGTGATCCACTGTTTGGCCTAGCCTAATATTTTTCAAGGATAAACCTGCTCAGTTTAACTGTCCATTTATACATAGACTAGTCATTATACATGAAGCATTTTGAATATTTGGCTAAAGACACCTTAGTTATTGTACCTGAAGCTTTTGTTTTCATTTTATATAAAAGTAAGACACTTTCAAGAGAATGGTGTATAATGCAAAATTTGTTAACAAGTGACTTCGAAATCCGGAAAATCACATGAAAAGGAGATACCTTGCATTTAAATTTAGCAACACTTACTTTATTGTGTTTCCATTGAAACGATCTTTAACTATTTAGCTTAAAACGTTGGGAACTGATATACCATCAGTGTCCACTAACACTTGAATAATTTCCTTAGAGAGATAAATGTATTTAATAATTGTCGAGTTCTGATTTTCATAAGCGTGGTTAATTTTTCAAATAACCTGTAGTTGTTTTTACATATATGTGCGGCTTTTTTTCCTAGTTATTTCCTCCAATTTCTCTTTTATAAGTTTTTTTTTTTTTTATAATAGGGCTGGGGAGCCTGTAGTGACAATATCACTTCATCATCCTTTCTTTCTACAGTTGATCATTTAGTCATCTCAGCATAATACTTTCCAAAGATAGCACCGTGTTTGTGACCCTCACCAACTGATTTTCCATGAAGTCTGGCTGTCTCATTGGTATACTTGCACTTTACAGCTCCTCTGGATCAACTTTATCTTACTGACATTATCAGACTTATAATCATTATTTTATGTGTATAGAAAAATACAAATATCAGAAGCATACAACTTGATGAATTTTCACAAATTAAACATGTTTGTGTAACCAGCACCCACATTTAAAAATAGGATGTCACCAGCAGACCTGCTACCAAATTTTATTTGCTTCTCTGTCTCCCTCTCTTCTGTATGCGTGTTGTCTGCCTTCTCAAGCAGTAATTCTTTTGCATTCATTTCTTTTCTGTTCCTCTAAGTAGCAGTCTACTTAGAGCTTGATATAAGTGCTTCACAAATACACAGCCATATTTGTTTTCTAGAATACCATTACTATTGTTGCAGAATAATTTAATCTTTTAAACACATTTGTTTTCTTCTGCTTCCTCCCTCCCTTTTAAAATTTTATGCTGTGATTTCCTTTAATTATTGGTCCAAAAGTTCTTATCCACTTAAAAGTAGTTGCTCTTTTTTTTTTTTTTTTTTTTTTTTTTTTAGTGTGTAAATTCAAGGCTCACAAAAGATGTGCAGTGAGAGCAACAAATAACTGTAAATGGACTACCCTGGCCTCCATCGGGAAGGATATTATAGAAGACGAAGATGGCGTAAGCTGCTGCTCTGTCTCTGGTCTCTTCCCCGTAACTCCTCTTTTATGTTATGCTCTTGCGGAAGGCTGGTGATAGATAAGTAGGAATACTTATTACTAGGATTTAATAGAGGGTTTGGTTGATTCCGAGTTTTTATTTTTAATTCAATCCTTCATAGCTTTCTTTAGCGCTTGGATTTTGAAGGAAATCTGTTGTGAATGGGGCTTAGAAGTGGCCGCAGTGCTGGGCTGTTGTTGTCACCCTTTGATGAACTCCGGGATGTTCTTTATGGCTTAGCTGAGATGTCCACTCTTCAGACTTTGGGGCTGCCTCTCAACAGTACACCTCCTCTTTCAAAACCCTGCCTCCGTTGCGCTGTGCATATGGGCTTCTGGTAGTGCTTAGTGATCACTTTATTGTAATCCCTTTACATGCCTCAGCTAAACCTCTACCTGAACCCTGAAGGGCACAGCTTTTACCTTACTTTTATATTCCTCGAAGGTTCAGGTATAATAGATGCTTAATAAATGTGGGGTAAATGAGTGAATGCTATGCATGACACATACTGCAGACCCCTAGAGTGAGAAATGAATCAAAATCTCCCCTGGGGTGAGGTTGGTGTCCGCCAATCTTCACCTGGCTGCCCCTTCTTCCCTCTCCACAGCTCGCGATGCCTCACCAGTGGCTTGAGGGCAACCTGCCTGTGAGTGCCAAGTGTGCCGTCTGCGACAAAACATGTGGCAGTGTTCTCCGTCTACAGGATTGGAAATGCCTTTGGTGTAAGACAATGGTGAGGGTTTTGGAATCAGTTCATCATTTTTAATTAGATTCTTTCCCTAACTTTGTCATCCACGTGGTTTAGAGGCAAGGCGAAGAATTGATGACAGAGCTGAGCCTGGTAGTATACACACCCCACGATGACATTCTTCTTTCCTTATGGTATAGTCCTCCTAGTCTGGTCGTTTTTTTCAAATGCCCTGTAAAACTTACTCTTGTTCATTCATTTCCTATGCCTCAGGATCTCTTACCCATAGTTTTGTTGTTTTTTAATTTTGCTTTGTCAACATAGTGCTTTGCTATGTTTGAGCCCGTTTTACTACGTGGAAGCCCCTTTATGGTATGTCACCAAATTTTGGTTGACATGCAAAATGTAAATTTGCTGCAACCCCATCAGCGCTCTCTGACAGAGGTGAAAAGCACATGCAGCCTAACATGAAGCCAGCAGCTGATTACTGATGCCGGCTATGGTGAGGACGGGGCCGCTGAACTGTGTGAGGACAGGCAGGGTAGGAAGGAGGCCACGTAGACAGTGGCATGGGGTTGAAAGACTGCAGCATGAGGAGGCTGTGGCTGTGAGTGCTCGTCTTAGCACTGAGCGATGCTGTCCTACGATGACAGTGATTGCCTTGCATGGGGACTGCCTTTTTTGGTGGTTTTGAGTCTTGTCTTTTAACATTGCTGGCTGAAATTTGGAAGCCATCCTCAAATGTTAACGTGTGGATAAACTATTGTTTTTGGTATGCAGAGTGTTCATCAGCAAATGTAACAGATGTGTGATGTATTGCTTTCCTAATCAATGAGACTGTCTGATAGGCCACAAAGGAAAGTAAGCCCTACAGCCTTTTAGTTAGGCCCAATAGGTAATCTGTGTTTCTCCTCTTTGTTCTCATGCTTTTGTTATTCTTCATTGATTGCCTCTTTTACTGTCCTTAGATGTGTTATTAATACTTTTTCTCTTATATAATCTAATATATAGACTGTAGCAGACATCTCTCTTTAGAATCTTAGTGCAACCCCTAAAATCCTCTTATGCCATTTTTTTATGTTAAAAGAGTTCTACCCATAAACAAGATTTTAAATCATCATCCCACCTCAGACTTCTTCTTGAGAGGACAACCATTGGTAGCAAATTTTGCTGCTATTTTTATTAGTCTGTACATTTACTAAAGTCTGTGTCTCTACTTCTAGAGTTTCAACTGTTCACTTCCAACATATTAGAAAGAAAACACATCATGTGTGATGAATTATTTTAGAAAGTCTTTATGTAAATTTTCTTTACCTGCAATATGTTTATCTCTACTTTAAAAAAAATCAGTAGTTTTTAAACTCTGTTAATTTTAACAGTAAGAGTTAATTAGGTTTATTACTTGCTCATTCTATTCACCCCTAACTTTTAAACATTTCTTAACTAGAATAGCAGTGGTATTACAGATGGTAGAAGGAAGGAGGCCTTTTTTTCCTGGCAAACTCAAATGTCACCTTGTGACATCATTTTTGCCCCACCCAGTGTAAGTTTGACATGCTGGTTTCTGAGCTACCATCACCCTATAGCACGTCTCTTAGTCTTGCACTTTCTATACACAACCATTTGCCTGTTTACATATTATTTTGCCTTTAAAATATGAGTTTCTGGTCTGGCGCAGTGGGTCATGCCTGTAATCTCAGTACTTTGGGAGGCCGAGATGTGTTGATCACCTGAGGTCAGTAGTTCGAGACCAGCCTGACCAACATGGTGAAACCCCATCTCTACTAAAAATACAAAAAATTAGCTGGGCACAGGGGTGCATGCCTGTAATTCTAGCTACTTGGGATGCTTCAGCAGAAGAATTGCTTGAACCTGGGAGGTGGAGGTTGCAGTGAGCTGAGATTGCACCATTCCACTGCAGACTGGGCAACAAGAGCAAAACGTCATCTCAAACAATTGAAAAAAAAAAAAAAAAACCATGAATGCTTGTAGTCTCAACACTTTGGGAGGCCGAGGCAGGCGGATCACCTGAGGTCTGGAGTTTGAGACCAGCCTCGCTAATATGGTGAAACCCCATTTCTACTAAAAATACAGAACATTAGCTGGACATGGTGGCATGCACCTGTAATCCCAGCTAAACGGGAGGCTGAGGCAGGAGAATCACTTGAACCCGGGAGGCAGAGGTTGTAATGAGTGGAGATTGCGCCATTGCACTTCAGCTTGGGCATAAGAGCAAAATTCCATCTCAAAACAAACAAACAAACAAACAAAAACATGAGTTTCTAACAACAGGATATCTAGTGCCTAAAACATAGTCTATATAATAAAAAAACAAACAAAATTTAAAAACCTGTAGCCCTGCAAGCCTAATGAATCAACTTATAATTTTTCCAGCTGTCGTCCAGGTCTGTGGACATAGTTTTACATTTTCTGTAAAAATTGTGAAGACATAATTTGATCATCTGCTTTTCTTATTTAGCATTATTATAAATTTCTTTCTGTTTTGTTCCATGGTTCTCATACATTTTAAAATTACTTTTAAAGCTGTCTGTGTGTGCTAGTTTTTCTAAAATGCGTTTGTATTGTTAATTATTGCAAAGCATAAGGAAACTGTCTAAAAACAGTTCATCACCAGAATTAGAATCACTATTAAGTTTTAGTTATTCTTCCAAAAGTTTTGATAAATGCAGGTTTAATTATGCCAGTTTTCTAAAAGGACTAATAAAATAAAGTCATATTAAATAAGTACTTGATGAAAAGTATCCGCTTTTACTGGTTAAAAGATTTAGAAGGCTCTGCAGACAAGTACACAAAGTATCCTAAATTGCCTGGGTCCTACCTAATAAGTTATCCTTGTTCTTGTTCTCAGTAGTACCTTGTATGACCATGAAATTCATTTCTACTGAAAGCACATTTACGGGGTGCCTGTGATATGCATCACTTTCCTTTATCTTACAGAGCAGCAGTCCAGCTGAGAACATAAGCATGGGTGTACTTGTACTTTTAATAATAGGGAAATGTCATAAAAGAAATGTGAATAGAAAGTTATAGGATTGCTGCTGCAGAAAAGCAGGCACATTGCAGATTTTATCTTTGTTAAATTTTATAAGAATTTGTATAAAAACAAAATAAATGTTCTGTCATCAATTTATTTTATGGGCAATGATACTGACATACTGGTTGGTTTTCCTCCTCCTTTGTATTCCCCTTCTTTTTCTCTTTTCCTCTCTGTTTCCCTTCCTCTGCTCTCAGTCTCTTCTCTTCCTCGCTCCTTGCCTTCACCAGTTTTTCATTAACTATATATTCTTCTCTGAGATAATTCCAAAAATTTGTTTGTGTGGACTAAAACCAAGTTTCCATTTCTAAAATGTTTAGTCATTTCCTTAATTATAAATATTATACCATTTAAATAAGTTAATGAATTACTGAATATTTTGTGGTACAGTTGATTCTAGATTATCAGTTCCTTAGATGTAATTTATAATGGCAAAACATTAATTTATTTTTATGATTCTTGAAGGTATATTTGTTTGTTGTTAGGTACACACTGCCTGCAAAGATTTATACCACCCAATATGTCCACTTGGCCAATGTAAAGTATCTATCATACCTCCAATTGCACTAAACAGCACCGATTCCGATGGTATGTAGTAGTAGTGTAAGTATGTATATTTCTGGTATATTTAATATTGATCTATGTATTTCTTTTCCTAGAATGACTGTAACTATAGTTGATTATCATGGTAATTTTTTTCTAAAATAATTCCATTTAAATTGCTGAAAATACATTCAATTTTTAAAAGAACATATTTAAGTGATAGTTGTAGAACAAATTCATGAAATTACTGTATATAAGAGTTTTAGATGGTATGTTTCAGTAAACAAATTGAGTATACTGCAATACAGTCTGAAAATGTTAATTTTTAAGTTTTTTTCCTCTATAGTTGAAACTGCCTATTAGCATGTTTTTCTGTAATTTCATTGTAGAAATTTATATGACTATAAATGCACTTTTCCCAAAACCTTACAACGTAACTATGAAGTGCTGAGGAACCCCTTTACAATACTCATTTTGGGGTTGCATACTAATTACTTCCTTCTAAGCAAATCATATTACAAAGACTTTTACCATGTGTAATACTATGCCATTTTATATAACAGACTTGAGCAACTGTGGATTTTGGTATTCATGGGGGTGCTGGAATCAATTCCCCAAGAATAATAGGACTGTACTATTATTAATGTCTTGCACTGATGTCATGCTTTATGCTTTTCAAACTTTTTATATAATTTATGCCAATAGATATCTTAGATTAACTTTATAAACTTCAAGATATAAGTTTATAAACCTCAAAGGAGGTGGCATTTTTTAAAGCTGTGCTATTCACAACCCTCTCTCCCAACCTAAGCCCTGATTTTATTTACTATAAATCTTAAAATATTCTCTCAGTCTTCAGAAAGGAGCAGTTAAAATATTTTGAAATACTTAATATGAATGTATGAATTCCTTGACAAATGTGAATTTATAAACTATAATAAATTAGTTTTTCTTATAATTAAGCATAATTAAGGTAGGTGGTATATCTTAAATTATCTGTGATTGATACTTTTATCATCTTGGGTATAATTTTCATTATTGAGCATATATTTAAAATATAGGTTTATATATAAATAGTTAACCTATCTCTATTTGGAGGGCTAAATTGTAACTTAATACTCCAGTTTTTATAAATTTCTTTTCTCTGAATGTTTGCTAATAATTTAGAAGAGGAAGCTGTATGTATTGATCTTGTACTGTGTTTTCTTACAGGTTTCTGTAGAGCAACGTTTTCCTTCTGTGTTAGTCCTCTGTTGGTTTTTGTCAATTCTAAGAGTGGAGATAATCAGGGAGTAAAGTTCCTTCGTCGCTTTAAACAGTTGCTAAATCCGGCTCAGGTGTTTGATTTAATGAATGGAGGTCCTCATTTAGGGTAACTGATTATTGATAAATCTTACTTGAATACAATGTAGGACTAGGTGTTAAATGATTCTGGTTTTTTAGCTCATGAAAATTAGAGATTCCTCTAGATCCCTCCCTTGTTTTTAACTCATTAATTATAAGTTTTAACACGACCTTTGGATGGTTATACAACTGTCTTGTTTAAATTCCAAAACTCTATTGAAATTTCTCAATTCCACAGTTGTTTGGAAAATGTTTTAGAATATATTCTATATCAAAAAATACTAACAAGTTCTTTAGCTCCAGGAAAGATCAACTGTGTAAATATAGAAATAGAAAGTAATATTAGAAAATGATTTGCATGGAAAGCTGATATTGATTTATATAATATAAATAATCAATTATCAAACCCAAGTACAGGGACTGTCATGGCTGTCAAGGGCAGTTCTTCAAGGATTTCAGACTCAGTTCACATAGATGACAAATAAACACTTTTGTTGATGATTCTTTTCAGCTTTCTGGATGTCATGTAGCTTAAAATCTGTAAGATAAAATGAACTAAGTAGTATTTTCACTGAAGAAAAATACACCTTGTGATACTTGCAATACCTTTTTAGGGTATGCATATGATTTTTCTTAAGAGGTGATATTATGTCTTCTGAACCAGGGGCCTTCAAACCTCTATATGATTTACTTAGGGCAACTCAGCTTTTCTCTTGGGTTTCACTGTTACCTTAAAGCGTGAATGCAGAAGTAGAAATGGGGATTTTCAATACCAGTGCCTGAAAAGGCATTTTGTGTTTTGTAATGTGACACTTTCCTCTGTCTTCTCTATTTCTCTCCTTCCATCTCTCTTGGTGCCTCTGTTTACTTTTGCCCCGAGTCTTTCTTCCTGCTTCTGTTGCCTTTATCTTGCTAAATCTCAGGCCCTTTTGGTCCTGCGGATGTTGGTCTTCTCCATTTATACCCCACTTCTTCCTTATCTACATGTACCACCCTTCCTTTCCTCTGCTGAGGTCCTAGAGTTTCTTCATCTAGCCTCTCTTCTCGCCTTCTTTGTCTCCACCATACTAGGGTAGTTTTGTCCTCCTTTCTGACACATCCATTTTATAATCCTTTATAGTTCCATTATTTTATAGTCTTGATTCATTTTTCCCATTCGTCCTCGAAGGCTCCAAGGATCTCTCTTGGTGCAACTTCCTGAGATTGTCTCTCTAATATTTTTCAGATTTTCCACCATACTTGAAGTAAGTGTACAAGGGTACATTTAGGAGATAGGATGTGTCATAAGTTGAGATGAGGGAAAATAGAAGGGTGGGCCTGAGAATAGGAGAAGAGGAGGGGAAAAAGCTAGTTGGGAATCCTGAGAGCAGTACATTGATTTGTGTCTTTAGGAACTGCCTGAGTGTCACTCATTAGCTTATTCCTTACCCATGATTTGTAATTCTTAAGAATTTGTTCCTGTAATGGAAAGAGAAAAACCACCACTTCCACCGTCTTGTATTACTTTACCTTTCCTGACCTCTGCTTCTTTTTCGTTTTCTTATTTCTCACTCTCATTCCTCCTAATTTTATATTCATTTCTACTTATCATTCCCTTTCCTCCTTATGATTCAGAAGTTTCCTTGAGTTAAAATTACACTTCAATGAATGTTTATGGTATAATTAACATGTAAGTAGGAGTTCTTTTATTTAATCTGAACATGAATACCAATACAGAATAACAAAGAATTGAAGAAAGTGATTTTCATGTCTTTATACTAACATAAAATCCTTTTTGCTTTCAGTTTAAGATTATTTCAGAAGTTTGACAATTTCCGGATTCTTGTTTGTGGAGGCGATGGAAGTGTAGGTTGGGTTTTGTCAGAAATTGATAAGCTCAACTTGAATAAACAGGCAAGTGCTGGTTATTTTACTTGCTAGTTAACATGAATGCATACTAACATACTTACCAGAGAGGTGCAGAAATGCAATAGTCCCTGTTTCCTAACTCATCTGAAAGTCACCCTGTCACACTCTCTTTCAGTGTCAGCTGGGAGTGTTGCCTTTGGGTACAGGAAATGACCTTGCACGAGTTCTTGGCTGGGGAGGTTCATATGATGATGACACCCAACTTCCTCAGATCCTAGAGAAATTGGAACGAGCCAGTACCAAAATGTTGGACAGGTAAAAGTGAATTCTTTTCTACAACCAGTTGGAAAATAGCACACTGAAATCATTTTTTGATGATTTATTAATAAAGACTTATTAATAAATTTTACTGACTAGAAGCTCCGAGAAGGCAGAACTTTCCTGATCTTGTGCGCTGGTTCCTGCCTGAGTTGGAGAATGGGGCCTATCACAGAGAAAACACTCAATAAAGATGTTTTATAGTGAATGAATGAATTATGAAAAACTAGTCTGAGGAACTCATTATTTTAAATATAGAAGGCTGTGTTACTGCTATTTTAATTACAGTTCAGGTCAAAAAGCTAAAATAGTTCATTTTGTAGGGTGCCTTTTGATGAGTATAATAGGTAGCCCCCTGTCATTGTGTGGCTTCCAGAAAGCTAAAGAGGACGTATAAAGGTTAGATTTGTTAGAGTATCTCCTCTTAAATATACATATTAAGGATGAATTGACCCAATAAGAACTAAATATGTTAAGATATAAATAATCCTTTCCCAGGGATAGGGAAGTATTAGGAAGACAGCTTCAAACGAAGGGACTTTTACTGTGTTTATTGCTACTCTTGATCACATCTCTTAATTGCTTTATCTCTGAATGTCTATGTATAAAAAAGAAACTACAGTGTGTATACCCTGAGTGTTATAGAGGAGGTGTTTAGAACTTGGGCATAAGGAACAATAGGACTCAGTAACCAGTCACTTCCCAACCCCCACTGTCAGTAGAAGACAGATGTCAAAATATCATGATCAACTTGAGGTAGCATGAATCAAAACAACTTTGTTAGAATTAGCCGCCTGTGGAACTCTTCCCAAAAATAACAAAATTTCATCGGGGAGCCACCAATCTGAGATGTAATTACTCTAAGATGAGCTATAACCTAATTAATTGTAACCTTGCCTATTGTAAGGTAATAGTGTAATAGTTGATTCTTTTGCTGACAGAATATTTAAAAAGAGAGCTGGGAAGCAGAACGTTTGTCTGTGTTTATCCAAAATTACATGAGAGAGATACTCCACTAGTTTAAGTGTATAAAAGTTTAAAATCTAATGTGCTACTGGATTCAGTCTCCAGCCTTTAAAAGAATCTGGAGGTTAAAAGAAGAAAAGGAATGAAAAAGGGAAATGGTACTTATGAATATGTCAGTTAGCTTGATTGTGGTGTATGTATATCCAAACATCAAGTTGTATACCTTAAATATATACAGTTTTTTATTTGTCAGTTATGCCTAATTTTGGGGAAAAAAGATTGGAAATAAATAAGTAAAATCACCATTATTTGTAAATGATCCTGGAGGGGATTTCCCAGACAACTGTCCAATTCTGTGGTTACCAAACAAAAGGGATTATTTTAAACGCTTTCTTTGTTGCAAATGTAAAGACCACTTCTCCTGCTGTTAGGATTTTCATCTACCTTGGATATGTGCTTTCCCCTTGTGTGCTATAAAAATTCACTTCTCAGCTGGGCGAGGTGGCTCACCCCTGTAATCCCAACACTTTGGAATGCCCACATGGGAGGATCACTTGAGCCCAGGAGGTGGAGATTGCAGTGAGCCGTGATCACACCACTGCACTACAATCTGGGTGACAGAGTAAGAACGTGTCTCAAAAAAATAAAAATAAAATGTCACTTCTCCAGGTGGTTAGCCAAGAAACAGCACCCCCATGGTGAGATTCCTTGATATCTGCTGGTATGCCAAAACAAAACAGAAGACACAAACATACACACAAATCAAAGGGGATTCAGAAACTTAAGACCTTTATTAGAAACATAGGAATATCTTATTCCTCTGTTTCCTTTATTAATTTGCTGTTTGTAAAGAACAAGTGAAAAAAATCATTGTTTAATATTCTAAATTAGATTAGTTTTTCAAATGAGTTATTTGATCCTCAAAACAACACTGTGGGGTGGGCCAGAAAAGCATTATTTTATAAAGATGAAAATTTAGTCTTCTGGATATAATGGGAATAAAAACAACTTAGTTTTTGTCTGCCTACACTTTCTAGCTGTTTTACTTCGTGCATCATCTCATTTAATTATCGTCCTTCTCCTAGAGATAGCTAATGTTCCCGTCTCCATTTTACTGGTGAAAAGGTTTAGGAGGTTTTTACATTGTCTAAGTTAAATAGCTAATAAGTAATAGAACCGGCATGGTAAACCACAATCCCTGCTCTGTCTACTTTCGGGGGTCCTTTCTCAACTCTGCACTCTCTCCCCTTTATATATGCACACCAGGTGGTTCTTTCTAGCCTTTGCCTCTGCTTAGCTGGTACTCACATGCATCTCTTCCTCACTTTTTCATCTCTTGCTGCCACTTTCTCCTTTTTCTTTAGCTTCAACCATTTCCTATTAAGTGGGGAGGTATAGCATGGAAGGTGCAAGGAACTCAGACATTTGGGTGGAGTTCTTACCATTTATTTAACCGTCTTTGACCAGAAAAGTATTTCTAGCTATAAGGAACTTGATTTTTATGTTTCTACTCATGATTTTCCCTGTTTGGATATTTACAGAGTTTGTTTTGTTTGCTTGCATCATACCTATTTTCTGCACTAGAACGTAAGCTTCAGTGGGGAAGCCTTATTCACCCTTGTGTTTCCAGACCCTGTGGCTTTGAGATGCTCAGAGCAATATAGTATATCTGCTGCATGGGTAAATTAATAGCTTTTGGTGCTCAAATATAAATTTCTTTAAAGTATTTTCATGCAGAGGGTTGAATAGTAGCTATAAGTAACTATTTAGTTTACATATCATAACACATAATGTATGTCTGTTGGAGGGCTTTCTGGGAATTTGAATTTTTATGCAAACATTTATTCTCCTTAGTTTCAATGATAAACTAGGCTCTGTTTAAATATTCATCTTGGGATCTTCCTCTGGGTTCTAACACTAGCTTCAGCTGTCTTACACTTTTCTTAAAATTCATGTGTTATAGTACTGCCTTTATTATGCTTTGTTTGTGTAAAAATTTTTATTTCACATCTTTTTTTTTTTGAGATGCAGTTTCACTCTTGTTGCCCAGGCTGGAGTGCAGTGGCATGATCTCAGCTCACTACAACCTCTGCCTCCCGAGTTCAAGTGATTCTCCTGCCTCAGCCTCCTGAGTAGCTGGGATTACAGGAACCTGCCACCACGCCTGACTAATTTTTTGAATTTTTATAGAGATGAGGTTTCGCCTTGTTGACCTCAGGTGATCCACCCACATTGTCCTGCCAAAGTGCTGGGATTACAGATGTGAGCCACCACATCCAACCTTTTTTCTTCTTCTTTTTTTTTTTTTTTTGTTTGAGACAGAGTCTGGCTGTGTTGCCTAGGCTGGAGTGCAGTGGTATGATCTCAGCTCACTGCAACTTCTACCTCCCAGTCTCACGTGCTCCTCCTTCCTCAACCTCCCAAGTAGCTGGGACTACAGGCATGCAGCACCGTGCCAGGCTATTTTTTATTTTTTTTGGTAGAGATGAGTTTTTAACATGTTGCCCAGGCTGGAACTCCTGAGCTCAAGCAATTCATTCACTTCAGCCTCCCAAAGTGCTGGGATTACAGGCATGAGCCACCATGCCTGGCCTTTATTTCATATTTTTTTAGCCTACAATAATATCCTGGCCCAGTTGTTCTTCCCAAATTTTGAAATTATTATTTTTGATAGAAAATTGAACTTATACTGAGTTGATTGTTTTTCTCTAGCACCAAATGATTTGATGTTTGCTTTGATATTAATACTTATAGCTATGAGATTAATACTTATAGCTAATTTAAATAAATTTGCTTCAGTTAAATATTATTAATATTTTTTCCCTACTCTCATGCTTACATTCACTCTTTCTTAATTTAAGTAGGAGTGTTTAGCCAACTTTCATTTTATGTATGTATAAGCTGATTTGGTAAGCGTGGTTGAGGAATTGTTTATAGGTAGTACGTATGTATTTAATCTAGGACATTGTTTTAAATCTTTAGGTTACGACTCATGAGTAATTTATAACCTAGTTAGTAAACTGCACTGAGCATTATTTTAAAAATAGAACAGAAAAGAATGGAAAAGTCAGAATGCATTGCACCTAGTGAAGAAGTGGAGGTGTTGTAACACATGTGGTTTTCTTATTGTGGGCTGTGGTCTTAAAACATTTGGAAGCCACTAATTGGAGAAATGATAAGAGGTGGAAATCATAAGTTATGAATTCAACATGTATGAGATTACTGAAATGTGATCTCTGTCCCCATTTTTGGTTGTTTTAAGATAAAATAAAGCATAGCTCATGAATGCGTGTGTGTGTATGTATGAGATGGTAACAGTTAGTGTATCCAATTTTAAAGAAATCTTAGACCAAAGAGTTTTTCTCCCTTCAGGTGGAGTATAATGACATATGAACTCAAATTGCCACCAAAAGCTTCCCTACTTCCAGGACCTCCAGAAGCATCTGAAGAATTTTATGTAAGACTTAACCCTTTACCTAATCATTTGAAATGGGGGTGAATATCTTGAAAAATAAAAAGAGAAAACATACTCCTAAGATATGGTAGCATGTTTACTTAATTTCATTTTGGGGTATGGTCTCATTGACTACTTCTAGTCCTCTCTCCCTGAGAGAAGAATCCAGAATCTAGGTTGGAGTCCTTTCATGGCCACCCACACTGGGAGTGCCCTGTCACTCCCCTTCCTGGGCCTCTTCATGTGTAAAGTGAGGCTACAAAGTGGTGAGAGTTGAATGATACACAAATGTGTAGAGCACTATCTGCTTTCCTGCCCAGATAGTCGTCCCTGCCTGTTCTACCTGCCTGTTTTCTTTTTATCAGCAGAGCTCCAGGAAGGTCAGCTGGTGTTTCCTGTTAGTGTTTATTCATCTTCTCCTTTGGCCATTAGATCCTGTTTGATTATAAGATGTTAGCTTCTTTACACAGTCTCCAAACATAACAATATTCCTGGCCAGAATATTATACAGTTTCTCTCTTACTGCTTGCTTTGCGTATTCTTTTCTTTTTGAGACAGGGTCTTGCTTTGTGGTCCAAGCTGGCTGGAATGCAGTGATGCAAACACAGCTCACTATAGCCTTGACCTCCTGGTCTCAAGAGATCTCCCACCTCAGCCTCCCAAAGTGCTGGCATTATAGGTGTGAGACTCTGTGCCCGGCCCCTACTCTTTTGAAGGGACAGCAAGACAGGTCTCTGGATTAAGCCTGTTGATACAGTTAAAGGAAGAAAGACCACTTAATTCCATCCCTACTACAGACCTTAAATGACTAATGTTTTTAAAGATTCAGCGTTCTGATTAAACCTCAAAGCTATGTAGATTTAAAACAGAACCTGACTTTCAAAGGCTTATTCTCTTTCTTGTTAAGACTATTTGATCTATGCAAGCTTATTTTTCCCTCTAGGAAAATTTATCTGTTTATTTTACAGTTGAAATCTTTGTTTTGTCATTAAGAAAATTATGATCTTGTCTAAACTAAGGCAAGGAGTGATAACTGCAAACATGGGGCTGTTTGTTAGAGAAGCTAATTGTGCCGGGCGTGGTGGCTCACGCCTATAATCTAAGCACTTTGGAGGCCAAGGCGGGCAGATCACCTGAGGTCGGGAGTTCAAGACTAGCCTGACCAACATGGTGAAACCCCATCTTAAAAAAAAAAAAAAAAAAAGAGAAGCTCATTGTATTTTTAAAACTTTTTCTTTTATAAAAACTGCTAATAGCCTAAACTGCTTCTAAAAAAATTTGGAAATACAAAATTATATGAAAAAGAAAATAAAATCACTTGTAGTGCTACCACCCAGAGATAATCATTATTAAAGATTAATATATTTACTGCTTGATTTTCAGCAGCATTTTTAGTTATGTGATTCTATAAATCACATTTTTATAGAAACCAGTCTTTTATCCCAACAGTATTTTTGTAAATGTTACTAATTTTCTTTCCAAAAAAGATAAAAAGGAGATTTTTTTTGTTCAGTTTACTTTAGAAATGTCTGTTTTCTAGCATATAAAATAACAGTAGATGATTTACTTTTATCACTTATATATAAAATCACTAAATATGAGGTACAATTCTAAAGATATGAAGGAAATCTCTCTTTTTTTTTTTTTGAGACGGAGTTTCACTCATGTTACCCAGGCTGGAGTGCAATGGCGCGATCTCGGCTCACCGCAACCTCCGCCTCCTGGGTTCAGGCAATTCTCCTGCCTCAGCCTCCTGAGTAGCTGGGATTACAGGCACGCACCACCATGCCCAGCTAATTTTTTGTATTTTTAGTAGAGACGGAGTTTCACCATGTTGACCAGGATGGTCTCGATCTCTTGACCTCGTGATCCACCCGCCTCGGCCTCCCAAAGTGCTGGGATTACAGGCTTGAGCCACCGCGCCCGGCCGGAAATCTCTCTTTTTTTGTACAAAAGGGTTTTAAATGAAACTTTACTTTTTAAAATAAACTTATTTTTGTAACAAAGGTATAGCACACTTTAAAATAACAGATTAAATGAGTGTTCTAAATGGCCCTGACTAGGCCCCAAACTAGGCTGACGCCAGGAATGCATTTTACTGTGTGTGGCTTTTTTACCTTGAAAACTGCAATAAAAGTAGACTAAACCTTTTTTCTTAGCTTTTCTACACATCACTAGCTGTGGGTCTTAAGCAAATTACTCAACTAACCTATAGCTCCCATTCGTTGGCTATAAAACAGGACAAAGGCATAAATGTATACAGAGTGCTTAATTACAGTGCCTGGTACACAATACAAAATGTTAACTCTTATTATTACTTACCTTTCTGACCCAGCTATGTGACTGCATAGTAGGTTAATAAGTTACATGTATTATTTTATCTTTGGACACAGAGGCTATTTTAGTGTTCTCTGAAAGAGGTTGTATGTTTTTGTCTTTGAATATTTTTAATGGACAAAAACTTGGATTTCTTAAATATAAGTTTCAAATGGCATTAATCAAATGTCATTAATTAATACATTAATCAACTGGCATTAATGAATTCATTAATTAATAGCATTAATTATCATGTAAAATATTTTCTCCTCTGCAGGGAAGAAAAATAATCTCTGGCGAGTATTTTCTTTTTTCAAATTTTAAAGTTTATTTTTAGATGATATATTTTTATTTTTCTGATCCTAGCTGTAAAGATGTAATTTGTAGTGTTTAAGAGATCAGTAAAGGGGATTTGTGGGTCAATACAATATCATGTGTAATTTTGGAGCTCCCAGCCTCCCTTCCTTTCTTTGATGTAAAATTGCTTTCCCACAAGTGGTCTGCCTTTGAAGGAGGGAAGGTAGAAATTTTAAAGAGTAACATACTTTTGAAAGAGTAGCATACCCAGTGGTGGAATGAAGGTAAATTAGGAATGGATTCTTTTGGGGAGAGGCTAGTCAGGAGGGCTTTGTGGGAAAGACCATTAATTGAATCTTCAATTAAGTCTGAATAAACTGAAGCTGATTGGTAAAAGTAATGAAAAGGTATCTGGGTGAGGCAGAAGAGCATCATCAGCCAGCTTGCCTAGAGCGGATCACTTATACTAGAAAATTTTGAGCTGGGTGAAATGGAATTTTTTTTTTTTTTTTTTTGAGACGAAGTCTTGCTCTGTTGCCAGGCTGGAGTGCAGTGTTGTGATCTCAGCTGATTGCAACCTCTGCCTCCTGGGTTCAAGCAATTCTACTGCCTCAGCCTCCCCAGTAGCTGGGACTACAGGCGTGAACCACCATGCCAGCTAATTTTTATATTTTTTTAGTAGAGGTGGGGTTTCACCATGTTGTTCAGGATGATCTCAATCTCCTGACCTTGTGATCCACCCGCCTTGGCCTCCCAAAGTGCTGGGATTACAGGTGTGAGCCACTTCGCCCCCCCATGCAATAGGATATTATTTGAGACACATTTGATGTAAGGCTCTGAATATGAGGCTGTTTAAATACTGTGCACATCTTTACATATTAGGAAAATGTGTGTGTTCTTTTAATAGGATGTTAAAGTTTGAGTCAAATAAGAAAGGGATTGTGGATGCTTTTGGCATTTTCACTAATTATTTAAAAGGAATATTTATTTACATGATTATATGAAAGTGCATTCAGCATTTAAAAAATCTTTTTTATTGAATTATACATACAGAAAAGTGCACAGGTCATAAATATACAGCTTTATGTAATTTTTCACAAACTAAACAAATCTATGTAATCAATGCCTAAACCACCCGACAGCATTCAAGTACCCCATAAGCCCCTTCATGCCCCATTTCAGTCAAGCTCTCACCTCCTACCCCAATATCACTATGCTGACTTCTGATAGATAGATTGGTATCTGTTTTGTGCTTTGTAAAATAGAATCATTTTGTATACTCCCATTTGTTTCTGGATTCTTTCATGCAACGTTATATTTATCAGATTCATCTATACTGTGGCTTGGCTGTAAATCATTCATTCTCATTCTCCTATAGTCTTCCATTGCACAAATATACTGCAATTTGTCATCCATTCTACTATTAAATGAATGCTGCTGTGAACATTCTAGTGCGTGTCTTTTGATGAACACATTTCTGCATTTCTTTTGGGTGTAGAAGTTGCATTTCTCAATCTTGTGATGTCATTGCATATGTTTAGCTTTAAGAGACACTACCAAATTGTTTTTGAGAGTGTATCAGTTTGCATTCCCATCAGCAGTGTATGAGAGTTCTGCAGCTCTATAGCCTTGCTAGTACTTGCCATTTTCTACTGGTTTTCATTTTAGCCATTGTGATATGGTGGTACTGCATTGTGGTTTTAGTTTGCATTTGCCTGATGGCTGAGATTGGATATGTTTTCTTCTGTTGATGGGCCATTTGGATATTTTTATATTTAAATGTCTAGTCTTTTGCTCAATTTTTATTAGATTTTTTGGCTTTATTATACTACTTTGTAGGAATCATTTTTATATTGAGATATTTTTATATAAAAATTTTGTAAAGGGGATTTTATGGATTTCTATAAGAATATAAACTAAAGAATTCCAGAAAATGAAAGGCTTTTGTCAAAAGGAAATATATATCTATTTTGCATAATGATTCTTATATTTCATTCTAGCCATTGCCCTGCCTAACACATGTCATGAAGGGTTCAATTTCTGAAACAGCAATAAGCAAGTTGTATAAATGCCAGCAACAATAATACAGTGTGGAGTTTTTTTTTTTCTTTTTTTCAGATGACAATTTATGAAGACTCAGTTGCAACGCATCTTACAAAAATCCTCAATTCTGATGAACAAGCAGTGGTCATATCATCTGCCAAGTAAGTTGTGGGTTTTAAGTCTTTAAATAGTTATATGGTGAAAATGAAAGGATAGCTGATTCCTATCATTTAGGTCATTTATTTGTGGGTTTTCTTCTCAAAAAATACCTTGGAAGTGGCTTATAGAATTAGATGTACTAAATTTGAATTGATTTTTAAAAATCATGTTAGCATCTTATTTGCAGTGGCATATACTTAGAGGGTATTTTTTTATGCGTAATTTGAATCATTTTTATCAAAAACGTGTAAGAAGCATTTAGAGTTTAATTAACCTAAATCTATTTAAGGAAATGTTTATAATTACATATTTCATTATAATTCATTATTTCCATGAACACTACTATTTAGGAAATGTTTACATCACATCAGTAAAAGGAAAAGAATGAGATTTTTCAAAATGATGTTTCTCAGCATGCTTAAATTGAATAATTACATTTTAATACAAAGTTATCAGATTTTAGTGAAGTTGATTCTGTACATGGAGCCAAAGCTACTTGATGTTATTATCCCAAATGTTGCCTGGCTGGAATTTAGAATTTAGTTTTGAAGCATCCTGTGCTGATCTCAAGAAACTGGGAAGTTGACTAGAGGAAGGAGTGACACCAACTGAAATTTTCAGCTGATAAGCAAAAGAATGCTTTCAGATTCTGACATAGCAAGCATGGGTTACTATTATGCAGGAAGAGAGGAGAAAAAGAGAGGGAAAGAAAATGAGTGGGAAAGTGGTAAAGAAAAAATACACAAATTTTGGTATATTATGTACTTAATTCTCAGTGAAGTTGGGGAAAGACAAGATGAATCTTTATAAAATTTTTATAAAAAGTACAAATGTAGTAACAACTGCTTTTGACAACATATCCTCCAGAAATAGGAAACAGGACTGAACAATAGGAAAATTGTTGAATGGCTTACCGCCAAGGAGGCACACTGGTTGGCCCAGGAGAGGTGGACTCTAGACTCTGCTTGGTGGGCAGTACTGCAGGTCTCTGTTTTGTACAAATATTGGACTAAAGCATCTTCTGCCATTTTTACATAATTGAAGACAATTTCCTTACAATCATGTTTTTAAAATAAAATACAGAAATAATTAAAAACTGTATCAAATATAAAACTATAACTGTTATCTGTAACTTTATTGTTTAACTTTTCTTGTAAAGGAGAAAATTTAATTGTATCTAATTTATTAATGTCAACAAAACAGAGTTTTAATATTGGAATTATGTGTAAGATTGTATTTGAACCAGGTACAGTGGCTCATGCCTGTAATTCCAACACTGTAAGAGGCCAAGGTGGGCAGATTACTTGAGCCTGGGAGTTCAAGGCCAGCCTGGGCAACATGATGAAACCTTATGTATATATATGTAGAGATGAGGTACACACACACACACACACACACACACACACACACACTAGCCAGGCGTGATGGTGCCTTTCCTGTAGTACCAGCTGTTCAGGAGGCTGAGGTGGGAGGATCACTTGAGCCTGGGAGGTGGAGGTTGCACTAGAGCTAAGATGGTACCACTGCACTCCAGTTTGGGTGACAGAGTGAAACCCTGTCTCAAAAAAAAAAAAAAAAAGATTTTATTAGAGAAAAGGTTTCTACTGCCAAAAATGTTTTGCTACAAAGGTGTTAAGATTACGAATGATAGGGAGAGAAAGGGTTAATTACTATAATTCTGTTTGCATCTGTGGAAATTTCTTAAGAATTCCACTTAATTAAAAATATGTAAAAAATATACTAAATGCAGTGATCAAATACATGAAAGTCAATATAAAGGTTTTGCTGACATCCAAACTATGAAAAGTGGCCAGTTAAAATATTTACTTAACTATATTACACAAAAAATAATTATCTTATGACTTGCTATACCTTAAAAAAGCTTCCATTACAGCTTTCCACCTTTGCTAGCAATGTTCTCTGAAATGTCATATCAAAATACATTGGATTTACAGGGCAAGGGCCAGGCAGTCACTTAGGTGTATGAATTGGGCCTGGGATGAGAAAGACAATAGGAAGTGCTAAGGCCTGAGACAAACTGGAGATTTGTCCATTTCGCCATCAAGCAATACAATTCATCGAAAACCCCAACAGTACTGCCAACCAAAGGAAGAGAGTATGTAGCCCGCCTCTCCTGGGCCAGCCATTGTGCATCCATTCAGATCTTTTTCTACCGTTCAGTCAGTCCTGTTTCCTATTTCTTGGGGATATGGAAAGAAGGCCTGTTATTTCTCCCTCATGGAACTGTTAGGAGAATTAAGCTGAGTAATATATCTATAAGTATAGAGTTTATAAACGGCAGAGGGCTATATTAAATTTTGGTATCATCATCTCATGTTTTACTGGATTACATTTCAGATGTTTTCTTTGACCTTGGTCTGACTCTTTGTCTAAGGCACTGCTCTTAGCCTTAGCTTTGGGGTTCTCCCTAACCAGCATGCTTGCCCTTAAGCAGATTCCATTCCGATCTGGGTCGCCTCTTGTCACTCACTCATCTGTGCTTCCAGGTTTTTACAACCCCAGATACAATGGGAATTTGCCATAAAGAGGCTGAAGAGAAAAAAAGAGGACACAATATGTAATTATTTGATACTAGAAATACAATATGTATTAAATTTTATTATTATTATTTTTGGAAGAAAATCTCTTTATTCCAGTTATCTTACAAACAATAAAATCACAACAGCTGGTTTAAGGAGGCCATATAAATACTTACCCAGCCCCAAATTCTATATCATCTTAATGAAATTCCGCACAGTAAGAACACCATTTTCCATTGCAATTCTGAAGCAAGGAAGCTGTGAATGACAGAGAAGAGGATTAACTGATGGTTTCATACTTTATACTTTCACTCTTCGTTATATTTTTATGTTAAATTAAATTGGTCATGAGAGCTGATTTTTCATGTCTTCAGTTGAACTTCTTGATTAGGCCAGTCCACGTGCACGTCTGCACTGTTTTAGCACCTCATTGGCACCCTCACCAAGCTTGACGTCACCCTAGTTCTGGGCACACCCCAGAAACTGTTCTATCTTATACAAGCAAAGCTGCTGCTGTTGTGCAGCTAGTCTCCCAGAGGCTTCTGAAAAGTAATGCTGCCTTGCGAGCTCAGCATTACTTCCTCTGTTGAAACCCCCCCTTTCCTGTGATAGCTGACCCAGTGTGTGCCCCACAGCAGGGCCCACAGCCCCACTAGCTGCAGTGGTTGCCCTCTGGACCATCAGACCTGGCTGCCAGGGTGCAGCAGCAGGAGACCCGACTAGAGAGGGTGGGACCACTGCTGGCAGCTGAGCTGCTGGTGCTGACCCGGGTGCTGGTCTCACTGGAGGTGCCTGGCTGGCCAGAGAGGCCATGCTGGAGGTGCAGCTTTGACTTCCACGTGGCATTGCAAATGGGCAGTGGCTCAGCGTCTCTAAATTTTATTTTTATGGACATTTTCAAACAAAACTGTTATAATTACTTCCCACCATACCCATCATTCAGTTTCAGTATTTATCAACATTTTGCCATCTGCCTTCCTACTTTATTTTGCTACAGTATCTCTAAGAACATCCTGAAAATTATTCTATTCTACTTTTGGTATATAGTCATCCCTCTCTAACCATGTGGGATTGGCTCAGAACCCCCTTGGATACCAAAATCTATAGGTTTTCAAGTCTCTGATAGAAAATGCCATAGTATTTGTATATAACCAACATACATCCTCCCACATACTTTAAATCGTCTCTAGATTACTTATAATAATGAATAGAATGTATTTGCTATGTAAATCGTTGTTATACTGTATTGTTTAGGGAATGATGACAAGAAAAAAATCTGCACATATTCAGTTTAGACACAACAATCTGTTTTCTTTTTCAAATATTTTCAATCCATGGTTGGTTGAATCCATGGATGTGGAACCCATGAATATGCAGGGCTGTGTGCGTATGTGTATATATGTGTGTGCACATATAATCTTTTTAAAAAATCTAACAAATTAATAATTCTCTAATACCATCAATATTACTCAAGCCATATCCCATTTCCCCCAGTTTTCTCAGAGGTTTTTTTGTGAACCTTGTCTGAATTTTGACAGGGTCTTTAAAAAAAAACCCACACACACTTTATTTGTTCAAAATTCAGACAAGGTTCATATACTACGTTTGAGTGATATCTCTTTAAGACTTTACAAATTTTGACCAGGCATAGTGGTCCATGCCTGTAATCTCAACACTTTGGGAAGCCAAGGTGGGAGGATCACTTGAGCCAGGAGTTCAAGACCAGCCTGGACAACATAGTGGAACCCCATCTCTACAAAAAAATTTTAAAATTAGCTGGGTGTGATGATATGTGCCTTTAGTCCCAGCTACTCAGGAGGCTGAGGTGAGAGGATCGCTTGGGCATGAGAGGTTGAGGCTGCAGTGAGTTGTGATCATGCCAGTGTACTCCAGCCTGGATGACAGAATGAGACCCCATCTTAAAAAAAAATACTTAAAAAAATCTATAATGGTTACCCCTTTAAAAAAATTCTGACTAAGACATGACATACACAGTAAAGCACCTAAATCACAAGGGTACAGCTCAATGATTAAAAAAATACTGTGTGTACACACAGTCACACACACATATACACACTTGTAATTACTACCTAAAGAATTCCCTTATTTTGTGAATGTCATTTATTTGTTCAGTGATACACAATATTAAGGCAAAACACTTTAACCTTTTTTGCGTGTTTATATTTATTTCATACAATAATAATTCCCAGTAGCCTTAACTGTTTTCAGCTATTTTTAAAATGTTGAAATACTAATGGAAAAGTTGTATTCCACTAGCATAGCTAATATGGAGGTTAACCTAAAACAACATTTCTTTGACCTTACAATTTTATCAATTTGGTATGGTAATAGGAGTTATCTTCTGAGACTCACAGCTCTGATTAGCAATCATAGATACTATTTATTAATAAAAATGAAAAAGTTATTAAATAAGTTGTCTTTAGTTGCAATATATGTCTCTCCTTTTATTTAGTCAGCAGTTTTAAAACTTTTTTTGCTTTAACAGTAGGAGTTAATTAGGTTTTTTACTCACTCATTCTACTCACCCCCGAAGTTTTAAAATAAATCTGATTTATTCTGTGTACAGAAGTTTCAGAAAATGGGATAACTAACTAGCAGGAATACTGAAGCCACTGTCATAGAACCATAGAATTTAGATTTGAAATCTAGGGATAATTTAGGCCAACCCGCCTCATTTACTTGGTGAAGTGAGGTAGTTATTAAAAATATTTCCTCAGTGCACAAAGATAGCTAGAGACAAAGATAACTAAAGATTTTTATTTAGTATGCATTGATATGTCTCAGTTATCTTCAGTTTCAAATTGGAACTTTTTATTAGATGAAAAATGAATTTTTTCAGATTTCCATATGATGACCTTGCCTGCCAATCCATGATTCTGTCTGGGTACTATTGCCATATTTATCTTGTGTAGTATTTGCATATTTTATTGCCGTTTTCCCATACTTTAAGAAATTAAGTGGAAAGCTGATAAATGAGGGTACTAACACTAGTGATGAGAAGTATGGGTCTAACGTATGTAATATAGTGGAGATGACGGTGGAAATCATCAGGTATGTGAAATGTGGACTGTTGTTAGCCTCAACTGAGTATTTGGTTCACAGAGTTGACTATGTTCAACTTTGAAGGAAGAGGACAAAATTAAAGAAATACAGTGTTGGAAATACCAGAAGTTCTGTCTAGGCCTTACGCAGTGGCTCACATCTGTCATCTCATTGCTTTTGGATGCCAAGGCAGGAGGATCCCTTGAGGCCGGGAGTTAGATACCAGCTGGGGTGGCACAGAGAGACTACATCTCTACAAAAAAAAAAAAATTAATTAGCTCAGCATAGTTACATGCATCTGTGGTCCTAGCTACTGAGGAGGCTAAGCTGGGAAGATCACTTGAGCCCAGGAGTTCAGGCCTGCAGTTATCTATGATCACACCACTGCACTCCAGCCTAGGCAACTGAGCAAAACCCCCATCTCTAAAAAAGTTTCTTTTTAAAGTTCTACCATTGATTAAAGATATAATTAGGAATTAAAATTTTTTAATCTCTTTTTTAAACTATGTTCTACTTTCATTTTGTTTGACTTTTGCACATATTTTCTGGAAGTCTTACATATAAAGTAGAAAGCTGTGTGTACTGTTGGAGAATATCTTTTGTCTTCCTGTAGTAAATACATCTTAAAATTGTTTTTTCTCCAGTTTGCAAGTTCCCAGCTGGTAGGACTTTAAAATCATACTATTTTTAAGTATATGTTTTATTTTTGTTGTAATAACTCTACATTCACTATTTAGGTATAATAAAAGGGTACTTCATTCCCCCAGAATATAAATATCCTGTATTCCTTCTGGCATATGGAACTTAATGAGCCATAAGGTAGAGCATGTCTTCTGATTCTTTCCACACTTGTGTGGCAAGCACCCCCCTAACCTTTACATGCCCCTTCCTCAGCTACCTTGGCCAACAGTGCCACAGGATCACAATGTCTTTGTCAGCCACTGTCTGCCTCAGTGACATGACACACTGAGGAGGAGCATCCCTGCTGCCCTTTTCATTCCTAGGCTGATGGAGATGGGCCCTGTCTCTAGGCATGAGTAAAATACCAACAAAAGTAGCTATGAGAGTGATATGACATGTGCAGTTCACAAACGAAGAGAAAATTATATCAAGAGGATGTTATCATCATGGCAAGAAAATCCTCTATTTCTCAGTTACAGGAAGAGGTGTCAATGCTCCTCTTACCTCAAAGTAGCACATCTTACAGAAGCTTTCAGTAAAATGCATAGAAGAGATTTCATGATAGCATTATATTTTAAGAAATCCTATGAAGTATTGTTCACCATCGAAGATAAAACAATGTGAAGTACACAAAAGCATCTCTAGTAAATGATAAGCTAGATTCTCTGTAGAAATTCGAGTTTAAAAAGCCAAGGAAGAAGGTTCAGGATTAGAAAATATTACCTTTATTCAAATAAAATCTAGAAATGTTTGCTAAAAAATAACAAGACAAAAATTGTTAGCAGTATAATTGCCAAGATGATAAATTCGAAGGTTGGTAGTGTGTGTGTGTGTTGGGGGAGGGGTGGTTGTGGTGTGGTGTGTGTGCGTGTGTGTGCGCGTGTGTGTGTGAGACTGTGTATGTGTCCTGTATCTATTGAATTGTTCAAGTTCATAATACTTAAGTATATGGAAATTTACCATTACACCACTCAACTACCAGAGAAAATTGTGAGTGTAATAGAAAAAATAACTGCTGGAACCTTTTTTTTATATCAATGATAGACAGCAATACTATAATTTAAAAAATAGTCTGATTCTATCAGCATAAGCCTTTGCTTTTAAAAAGCTGGTCCTATGCCATTCTATTGATTGTTGTTTTTAATCCAACACCAGATTCAGATCCAAAGCTTTTCGAAAGGCAGATTTTGTTATTGTTTCAAGTTATTTTGTCTTTTAGCTTATTTCTATTGCAGAGAAGCCAAACATAATTAAAAGAAACAAACAAATAAACCATATATTGCTGACACTAACAAGACCTAAATTAAATTAGTTTTGTAGTTATTGCATTGGTTATGTCAAGGAAAAAATGAATGGATTTACAGAGACTATAACTCATTTCAAGTGGCAGATTTGTTTTCAGCATAATACACAATCTCTTTCTCTTCAGTAATAATATCTTATAACTAGCAATCAAGATCTCCATATGATAAGTAGTAGCTTGACAGTGACAAGATCAGCAATAATCTTATCTTTGTTTGACACTGCAGTTTCTGTTATGAAAATATGTAAGCTTTAGAATTCCAGTGGAGAAAGCAAGATGATGCTTTATCATTTTTAAATGGGATCTAAAAATACTTAATTTAAATATTTGAGGAAAGCTTGTTATACCATGAATTACTATAATTTAAGTAATATACAGCAAGGCTTATTCATGTATGCATTTATCATTTAGAATGTCTTGAACTTATCTGAGACAAACTGCATAGCAGATAGAAGCATAGATGTGACCCAGATATTTGGCAGTTTCCTTAATTGTGTTTCTTTTAAAATATATTCACAAATCAAAGCAAATCAAATCATGAAGTTTACTAAATTGTACAACTTCTTTTTCTCAAAGGACACTATGTGAAACTGTGAAGGACTTCGTTGCCAAAGTAGAGAAGACGTACGACAAAACCTTGGAAAATGCGGTTGTAGCTGATGCCGTGGCCAGTAAAGTAAGAGGGGACCCATTAGGGCATGAGATTTGTTTACAGATAATGCTAACATTCAACTGTGTTTCAAAGCTAAATTGATTCAGTGGTTTGCCTGCCAAAACATCTTAAATCAAGAGAAAAATTACTTCTGAGGATTTTAAAAAATATTCTATTTTACTATTACCCTTTAATATGTAGGAAAACTGCATTGCTGAAAACCTAACTCAAATCCCTGTCCCAGTGATTGACTTCTTTTTGAGACTGAGTCTTGCTCTGTCACCCAGGCTCGAGTCCAGTGGCATGATCTCGGCTCACTGCAACCTCCACCTTCCAGGTTCCAGCGATTCTCCTGCCTCAGACTCCCAAGTAGCTGGATTACAAGTGCTTGCCTCCACACCTGAATAATTTTTGTATTTCTAGTAGAGATGAGGTTTCACCGTGTTAGCCAGGCCAGTCTCGAACTCCTGACCACAGGTGATCCATCTGCTTTGGCCTCCCAAAAATGCTAGGATTACAAGTGTGAGCCTTCATACCCGGCCATGATTGACTGAAAGGGAGATGCATAGCAGTCAGACCGCAGGGAATCCCATGTAGCTGGGTTCCAGTGGGGAAAGCAAGGCTTCCCATTTTCAAGCAGATTTAGGCCAGTTCAGCTCCCTTCCAGCATGGTTCTTTGGATTTCCTAGACTTAAAATTCTTGGTCTCTTTCAGAGTGCTGCTTGTTGCATCACCTTTTTCTTTACAGACTTCTTTCCCCTTTCATAAACTAAAATAAGAACAGTTTACCAAACCTTAAAAACTACTGTATTTGCTTTCATAAATTCACAACAGGACCTTTTTACAAAAGGCTTGAATATCTTGGGCTTGCAAAGGGATTAGCTTCCCAAATCCATGCTGTAGATTGCAGTTTAATTGAGTGGAAGAAAAAGATAATAGAAATAAATATACATTTGAAGTTTTCTGCCCTTTTCTCTTGTCTTTCTGCTCTGTGGAGAGTTTCAGAAAATAGAAACTCTCTCTGGCCATACTTCTGTCTCTAAACTATTTCTGCTGTAACTTTGTCTCAGCATATCATCAAAGACAAATATATGAGGAGTAAAGGGACTAGAAATTTTATGGAGATGAAAGGTATATTGGAGGTAGCATCAACAGCTTCAGTCTTAAATGTTTCTTCGCTATTCATATATAAGAAAAGCAAAAAGATACAAGGGCTTGCCTAGTGCATGTTTTTCTTTCTGTATCCCTCTTCTTTTCCCTCCTCATCCTTGTGCATTTTCCTTCCTGCACTTTATTTGAGCCAATAGTCCCTTAGGCATTGTTCACTCCTGTGCAAACCAAAGCTTTGAAGGGGAGTTTGCCACAAGTCAGTCAGATGTGCTGTTTCTGATGCTCAAAATGGTGCCATAGTCAATTACTTTTTAAAAAAAATTTATCCAATGTTTTGTATAATGTATAGCAAATTTTGTGTAATTTTTTTATATAAAGCATCACTTGGTAGCAAAGTGTCTATTGTGTTCTTTGAAGAAAAATAGCTGTATGAACATTGTAAAGATTTTTTTCCCCATGAAATGGAGTCTGAATGGTTCTGAAACTATAAATTAATGAAATTCTGTAATAATTGTGCCAATTTAAAAAATTATAAATTATTTTATGTAGTAAACATCAATAAAGGCATTGTCCCTCTAAATCAAACACCATAATTTACATTATCATTGTGTATCTCTACTAAATGGAGATTTTAAAATTAGCTGCTTGCAGAACCAAAATATCTTCAAAATTAAAGGTGGGAATTTTAGTGTTTTTCTCTCTTGGGATTAAACTTTCAAAACATCTCTATAAAAATTTCTTGCACTTTGTCTGCTGATCTTGATTGTTTTTGAATATTTTTCTCATTGCCATATTTTCCTCTCAGTGTTCAGTCCTCAACGAGAAGCTTGAACAACTGCTGCAGGCTTTGCACACAGATTCTGAGGCTGCACATGTTCTCCCAGGCCTCAGCCCTCTCATTGTGGAAGAAGATGCTGTGGAATCGTCCAGTGAAGAGTCCCTTGGTGAAAGCAAAGAACAGCTCGTGGATGACGTTACAAAACCATCCTCCCAGAAAGCCGTCAAACCGAGGGAAATCATGTTGCGGGCAAATAGTTTAAAGAAAGCAGTGAGGCAGGTCATTGAGGAAGCTGGAAAAGGTACATGTTAATAAATTTAGCTTTGGAAGAAGTTGGCAGCATTTCTACTGCAAGCATAACCAAGCTTTTGTAGTGGTCAGATTGGACACGCTTTTTAAAAACAAATTTTTTAAGGCAAGATAGAAGATAAAGTCATTATAATAAAACTTGTACATAGTCCTATATATTGTTATAGTAGTAACAAGAATCAGCATATTAATGATGAATAAAATAAAATACCAGAAATAAGTTACATGGAAACATTTCTATCTAAAATATAAAACTATTTTAAATGACATTTTAAAAATTTTAGAGTTTACTTAATTGGAATCTGTTGAATTCGTAAAGAAAGTCAAACCTCTAAACTACTTTGAAAATATTTTAAAAAAATTTTTTGAGGCAAGGCCTCACTCTGTCACCCAGGCTGGAGTGCAGTGGTGCAGTCTCAGCTCACTGCCACCTCCACCTCCCACGCTCAAGCTATCCTCCTCCCTCAGTCTCCCGAGTAGCTGGGACCACAGGCATGCACCACCATACCCAGCTAATTTTTTTTTTGTATTTTTGGTGGAGATGGGGTTTCACCATGTTGCCCAGGCTGATCTCAAACTCCTGGGCTCAAGTGATTCACCCACCTCAGCCTCCCAGAGTGCTGGGATTACAGGTGCGAACGACTGCACCCTGCCAGAAAATATTTTCTTAACATTAATTTCCTAATGTTTATGCTGCTTTATTAAGAGCTTATAAAAGCTCTGCCTTATTTTAATTTTTAGATTAATGTATATATTAATACTTCTCAGAATTTTAGCTATAGACTAAATGTTAATTTTATTTGTTTTTTTTTTTTTTTTGAGACAAGGTCTCACTCTTTTTTCCCAGGCTGGTGTGCAATGGCGCGATCTCGGCTCACCGCAACCTCCGCCTCCTGGGTTCAGGCAATTCTCCTGCCTCAGCCTCCTGAGTAGCTGGGA